TGTGATTTCCCTACTCAGAGAAAAGCTCTGTTAACGTTGAAATGTGTTCCCTTTATCTTCTATGTGGCGTGTGTTTGTCTATTTGCCTTTTTGCTAAAGTGATACCATAACTGCACATGCATTTTTATGGCCGGCTTGTTTGCTGAGCATTGCACCTTCTGCCTCCTCATGTGAACCTCACATCCATCCCCTGGGAGAGAAACAACTGTGTTGTGAAAATGTCCCTGGTGTGAGGTTGGAAGACTGGATTCTCCATCCAGACGGCTTCTCTGTAGCAACGTAACAGGCAGATTACTGAAACGTTCTGAGCCTCCATTTCCTCCCGTAAAACAGGTGTGTGCTGAAGGATTCCGTTACCACGCCGTCCACCTGAAAACATCAGCTCTGCACCTGGCACACAGTACGTGCTTATGCATATGAGCTGAGCCAGGGTGCAGCCCACCATGTGGCTAATTAATGTGAAAGCTCAAGGAAGGCATCTGGTTAGTCCAGAGTCCCGTAGATTCTGATGTCATATGCCTGATGTAAGACCTGAGGTGCTTTCCACAGTATGCAGGCTCATTGTCAGACAGTAGTATCCCCTCAGCCCTACCCCCGAAGCACTCTGATGGCCACAGGTGACCTTGGGAGGCGGATGCCCCGGAGCCATTTCTTAGTATGTTGAAATTCCTAGATGGAGGCTGTTCATCCCCCGGGACTGCTGGCAGACCCTCCCAAGCAGGGCAGGCCTTGGGAGTCCTGGGAGCACTCTCACCGATCACTTGAGGACACCTAGCAGGGACTTGCTGGGCAGGCAAGGTGCTCTCGATGTTCTAGGTAAAGGGAGGAGTGGAACACAGGTCCTACTTATGGGGCCCACTCTGGGGGGCTTTTCACCAAAAGGCTCCTAGAGCTGTTTACCATGGGATGGCGTTTTCCCCTAAATCAAGGGTACGTGCCTGTGTGCATAGAGACCCCCAAACACGCATGGATTTCTCATGGTCTGGTCACTCATTTTCTTTTTTTTCTGTCTTTTTTTTTTTATTTTGTTATCATTAATCTACAGTTACATGAAGAACATTATGTTTACTAGGCTCCCCCCTTCACCAAGTCCCCCCACAATCCCCATTACAGTCACTGTCCATCAGCGTAGTAAGATGCTGTAGATTCACTACTTGTCTTCTCTGTGTTGCACAGCCCTCCCCTTTCCCCCACCCCCCCCATTATACATGCTAATCATAATAC